CTCCTAACAGTACAGTCTTGTAAACTTATCATGTCTTCTTCAGTCTAACATTCAAAAGATGGGAGGGAAAATAATTCCAATAAAGAGGGGACACAGTTAGTTCCTTAACCAATATCAAATGGGCAGGATCATTGTTAATGAGAACATTACAAAGTACCATGTTTCTGAACAGCCACAATGCCCTTCTAAACTGCTACTTCTTCCTGATCCAGCTATGTCTCACTCCAGTGTAAATTAAAGTTACTGTACAAGTTATTTCTTCAGCAGTTGACAGTTACTCAGCTGATCAAGAAATTCCCTGTTGCTATGTAACCTGAAATTTCATACATTATATCCCATGTCCATGCTAAAACATGAAACTCTTTTCACAATAACTTTTCTTTCAAATAAAAAAGTAACACAGCAAAGTAAACAACTATTAAAGAAGACCTAGCTGGTTCTGTCTTCTAATGCAACAACTTTTTCTTTTACAGCTGTAATAATAAATTATAAATAAACTGTCCTTTGATATTTAAAAGTTACTTTCTTTGTATAAAGAAACGGATCAAGCTGTGATCCCTGGAAATTAAACTTTTACCTCAATCATAAAAAAATTCATCATATTTAACTTGTAGTTCTTATTACTTAGATTACCTAAAGCCACTCTATCAACTACAGAATTTCAGAATAATTAAGGAACATATGAAAGCAGTCAAAGCCTATTTTAATAATTATCAAAGCACAGATCCAGAGGTGCTGATAAACACAAAATAATCCTACTAAAGATATGCAATATAAAATGGTTATTTAAATAACATAACATGACCAGCTATACAAAGCTATTACGTTCCCACACTATTTAACACCTTTCTATACGCATATAGGTTTTAATATCTGAAACAGCATAATGTGAAAATTCCTTTCTTAGATAATGTTGTATTTTTTTAATTCATGAAGACATTTCATTTGTTTACTCTCATCTTGATTGGGTATCCAAGAAAAGGATAGAAGAAGAAGTAGAAGCAGATATATAATGTTTTCAACAATGAGTATGTGAGTGCATGCGTGCATGTACAGAAAGAAATATGGACGCATGAAAATAACAGTTGAAAATGTACCTTTATTACAATGCCTCATTAACATGTAATATGCATCACAGCATATGTCAACCGGATGCATATATGCATTTCAAATTTTCCACATTCCAAATGCGGCAAATTTCATTCTCTTTGGGTCTATCATCTGACAATGACAAACCATAAAACTCTTCTTACACAATTTTGTCCATTCTCTTGTTATTCAATTCAAAATAACATGTATAATTGTCTATTTTCATCTTTCCGATTTTTTCAGCCAACAAGACAACCAGAGTGTGGTGAAATTAATGCTACTCAGAACATCAATGTCTGCAGGTAACTGTTATACCATAATTTACAAACAGTGGAAAATGTAAACAGACTCCTTTGAAAAGTTCTAATTTCAAGGCCAAGAAATCAGAACATTTGTAATAATTTTTTAACTCTTCTATCCATTGGAAACCCTTACAACTTATTATGAGAGTAAATAAAATATTAGTTTTCCTAATCAGATACTTGTTCCCCCACAAATATCCCAAGCAGTTCAACATAGGACGTAACTCCATAAGCTGAAACCTTCTCTTTTAATATACTGTTAATATACTACTACTAAAGGCCATTAACTTTCCCTTCCTTCACTCACTCAATCTCTCTCTCCCTCTCTCTCACACACACATTCTATCTGTCTCTGACATTTTAGTAGTGGCATTTCA